TTATATTATCATTTCTGTTTTATATTTATTTTATTTCTTTTTATTTGTATCATTTGAGTTGTTTATTTTATCTTATTTGTTTTAAACATTGATATCTTCATTGTTATTTATATTTTGTTTATGAAAATTGTTGAATCTTATTTCAAAATGAATGAATTGTAATATTCAAAATGTTAATAATGAATTAATTTAATATATAAATTATGTAATAAGAAAGTGTTATATCATTTGAATTATCTTAATAAATGAAAATAAAACATTCATATAAATATTTTCAATTTATTATTCATGATTTATATATAAATGTTATTTATATTTCTTCGATTTGAATAAATAAAAATGATGATCTAATATTGTAAATATTTAAATATTCATTATTCTTGATTAATGTTTGAATAAAATTTATTATATATTGATATATCAGATTATTTATTTCATTTCATTTTATAATAATATAAATCTAATAAATAAGATAATAATAGATACATTAATATTTACATTTATTTTATTTATTATCTCCATTCAATTATTCACAATACTGAATAAAATGAATATTTCATTAATCTAACAAATATAAAATGACAATCATACAACCAATAAACAATAAAATTAATATAATAACATAAATAACAAATTTAAATACAGAAAATACACATTCATTTCAACTCATATTAAAATAATTATCATTTTCAAATTATGATTTAAATAATTTAAAATTAAAAATATATAATACCAATAATCAAAATATTAAATATATTTGTTCATTATAAATCTATTTCATAATCAATTAATCTATTTTCATATAATATAAACAAGAATAACTATTGTAATAATGAAATAAACAAAATACAATCGTTTCAAATAAATAATAAATATAGTAAATAACGAATAGTAACAACAAGAATTTGGATAAAAATGAAATAAACATAAATATAAATAAACAATCAAATCATTATAGCACCAAATTGAATAAATAAAAAAGAAAATGGATGAATAAATCACTAACTAATTAAAGTTATTTTTGATATAATCATTTTAAAAAACATAATCAACAAAGTAAAAATAAGTGATGATTTATTTGACTATAAATAGATGGCTTAAGAAATTTTCATAAACATAGAGAAAGTTGATTAGAATTTAAATTTTTAATTAGGATAAACTACAGATAGCCAAAAATGTGGTGGTTCCAAAAAAATGATATGATAAACAAATTTTATATTTTGTAATATTTTAATGATTTTATTGTTAATTTAATGAATATCAATATATATGAATATTACTATATCAATTATTCATATAATTATAATTAATTGAAAATAAATGTTTGATTTATTATAATTAAATATAATAATTTTAAGAAATATTGAATAGATATTAAAAATATGAATAATAATAATGAAGATAATAGCATTAATTAAATACACATAATTATTATGGTTATAAATATAAATAATAAATACAATGATAATACAAATGAAATATATATATCAATAATAACATTAAAGAAAGAAAATAAAGAATCAAGAGAATAAAGAACTCGAATATAAGAGAAAATAATAATAATAATAATAATAATAATAATAATAATAATAATAATAATAATAAATAAGAGAAAATAAATTATTAATATAAATAAAAATAAATTATTATTTTAATTTTATTATTTATTATATTATTACTATTATATTTAACTATTTCATTATTAATTTCATTATAATTTATTATTAATATTTAAATTATTTCATTATAATCTCTGTCATCTTTTTTTTTCAATTTAATGAAAAATAGATTTTCCATACCTAAGATAAAACTATATTATTAAATACTTTAAAATTGAAATGCCGCCTCATTTTTTGGCTATCTGTATTCCTCTACTGTAATATTAACATTTTTGTATCTTAAAATATTTTATTTTATATAAAATTATACAAAATGGATTCGAAGGTAGCACGTCAGAGACACCACACAGATCCCTAAAATATTTCCATCCCTCGATCCCTCCCAGTTATGGACTGGTTATGACGTTGCGTTTGGTTAGAAAAACATCTTACCCAGTACTGCAAGAATAGCAGTGTTTATTATTTACAATGACAGAATATCATTGACAATAAACGAATGGGTATTTATAAAGATGTTATTATTACTTGTTAGAATACAAGTATTATTTGATAATATAAGAAAGATTATCAAAGGAAAAGGGTCAAGTGGATGAGGCTAAAAGAATATTAGCCTAAAGCAATACAGTAGTAATTATATATTCTCCTGAAAATAAGAAAATAAAGAAGAAGAAATTTAAACCCATCGAAATTAAAAAGAAATTAAATAATGAATATTTAAATAAGGGATGTCTAAAATACTTTATTCCACATCAAAAATGAGAAAAGAAAATTCTCACCGTTCAACAACTAAAAGCAAAGAATAAGGCAAAAGTTGAAGAACAAATACATTTAAAGCTCAGGGACGGGATTAGTCTCCCCTGAGCAAGGAACAATAGAAGATATTTCTATTAATACTTAATTATCTACTTTTTATTATAAAATTATACAAAATAGAACAAAAAAGAAAATAATAATTTCTATTATTAACGTTTGATAAATTTCATTTGAAAAAGAAATAACTTGAGATAGTTGTAAGCGTATTCCATTATTTAAACTAATATTTTATACTATTTATCTTTATAGTTAATTTTTATGCAGGAGTTGACTTTATTATTGAATTGAAACCCTCGAACTCCTATAACAATAAGTGTTTTGAAGTTTTTATAAGTGAAAAAGAACTACAAACATCAAATAATAAAGGGTACAGCTTAATCATTACTCTTATTATACTTATTTTTTTATTAATACTAGCGAGTTCTGAACTATCATTTGACCATTCAAAAAAAGATACCGAAACACATGTAGCAATATTTTCTATAATAATTATTTTATATTATAAATTATTTTATAAAGAAATACAACAAACTACACCCCATTTTGTTCATATCTTTTTGAAGTGAAATTTGATAAAAGAAGTTCATAAAAAATACTAAGTATTTTCTTCTTATAGGATCTATTCTTCTTAACTCTAATTTTAAGGCAACAACAGTCCTTTGAATATTATCTGCATTTATTTGTGTAAGGATCTTAGAGAATATTACCATTTCCTCTTTTTTTATTAATGGAGATGGTAAGCTTTTAACAAATGACAATAGTACTCTTGTTAGTTCATGTGTTATATCATGGCCTTCTATAAATTTTTTAAAACTCTCCTTCTTTGATAAACTGTGTTTTATTTCAGAGACTAAAGCAGTGTCACCAGGTACTCTTATTATGCCAATACATTGATCTACTAAATTGGTATTTTTTTTTCATAAACAACTATAAAAAGAAAACAAACGACTTAGCACATACTTACTTATGTCTATAAAAAAGAAAGGGAGACCATCTTTTAAATAGTCATCTGGTATTTTGTCTAGTTCAACACCAAAAGGTTTCTCTTCTTTTTTATCTTTTTTTTTTAGGTATGAAAGTACTTTCTTATAAATAAAGCCTTTCATACTGCTTAGTATAGTCAGAATAAAAGAGGAGATCTATACATTTAATTTTTTTCTTTCTTCGAAGTATCATTCATGTTTAAATATTATTTTTTTTATAAATGATATTACTAAAAAAATGAAAAAATTACTAATGATTGAATACTTTAGTTATTTTGAGAAAATGACGACAATGACTTTTTTATTTTTTCCGACCATTCTTCAAGTGATGATAAATTAATTTTTTCTTTCATTTTTATTTTTTCAATAACTCTTAAACAGTTCCTTAAACG